TCAAAGGCAAGATTTCCCAGGGCAAAACTGAGGCTCTTGCGGGTAGGAGGAGCCGTGTGACCCAGCCTCCTCCTTCCATGACTAAAACGTTGGCTTTACTGTGTAGGCCGGTAGAGTAATTAAACGCGGAGCTTCTTTAAACTTGCTGTGCCATGTAGACAAAAATGAATTCCACAAACAATTAAGCAGAATATTTTAAAATGGGCATTAATATCAACGAAGAGGGGTTAACTAGGAAGTAATAATTGTAAGTTAAACATGAACAAGTCTCCTTTACTTCTATTTATTTTGAGAGAGGGAAGCTCAGAAGGCTTTTAGTTTCTGTGCTCTTACGAATTATTTGGATTAAAAGCCCCTAACTCTGAGACCCGTGTTGAACATGAGAACATGAGCAGCATCTGACGCTTTCGAACCCGGTGGGTTTGTGCTCTGCGTCTCATCCTTCGGTGAGAAGGTCGTGATGTGGGCCTCCTTTTTATCTTCAGACAGAACTGGCAGTATGGGAAGAGCTAGTGCAGCTGTGTTGGATTGTGCTGAAAATTCCTAAGCATGACTCAGATGACAAATTACATGTGATAGAGAGTCTGGTGGGATTTGCAGAGTGGAGTCTCAGTCCTGGGAATGATTAAATTAACTGAAGACCCAACAGGGAACTCCTGACCTCCTACAGGACACTGCCAGCCTCAGTGTTGCTTTTGCGAAGTGGGTGAAGTAGCCACACCATTCAGAGCTAAGCCTCTGTGCTTCGTGGAGAGGTGAATTCCCATTTTCTATGAATTTTGAAAAACAATTACAGTAATGATGATGGCAAAGAAAGGTACTACTGAAGGGCAAATTTAAAAAGACTGCACCCAGGGGAACATGCTGTCATTCTTCAGAAAGTTTCACAAGTCAAACAAGGACTGCCCAGCGGTTTCCTTTTCAATAATTAAGTCTATTAGTTAAATAACAAGTTCATATGCACATGAAATGTTTACCCACTTCTGAGAATAAAATGAACATAACAAAGGAATTATAGCTCATACGTATTATAGCATTCTCCAAAAGTTTCACCTACTCTATATTCTGTCAGATTTATTTACTTATATAAACAGGGTAGTAGTTACATATGCTGTAGTATATTTATTTATAGTGTAAAAACACACACATGCAAATACATATACAAGTTCTTCTGTATCCTCTAATATCCTAATCCAAAATTATGTATACACTGGTGACTACTTACTTGATTTTATTTAAAATTTACTTAGCTACAGCACTGAAAATTACAAAAGTTTAATTTTATGACAACAATCAGGATAGTAATTTTTAAAAGGTAATCACTAACTCTACAATTTTATCTTTTCCCTTTTTTATAATGCTACTTTAGAAAAATCCACAAAAGGGTATGCAAAATTTATATTCCCTCAATTCCTAAATTGCACACAAATGTTATTACCATAATCAGTGACTAATCCAAGTGAAAAATATTTTTAAAAAACTTTTTAGCGAGTGTGTTGTTTAATTCCAACTTCAGTGAGTAATTGTGAGAGTCATATAATCTCTTTGGACTTTGTTGCTATTCATCCTTGGGTAATTTTCCTTTCTTTTGTTTTTCCTTTTTTTTTTTTTCTTTCTCTCTTTTTGAGACAGTGTTTCTCTATGTATAGTTCAGACTGCCCTTGAACTCACAGTGTAGCCCAAGCTGGCCTGGAACTCACAGCAATCCTCCTGCCTCAGCCTCCAAAGTGCTGGGATTACAGTCATGCACCACCATGCCCAGCTCAAAAAATGTAAAGATGGAAATTCAGAACCTCAGGTTTAAGAAATTATAGCAAGAATAGATAAGAAGAGATATGTTTAAGTGCTTCCAAGCTGACTACATTGTCACATACAGTTTTACAAAAAACCAAGGAAATGTGAGCTTTATATAAAAGTAAAATTTCTAGGGTAAAAGGAAGTGATTATTAATATATGAACAAAAGTAAGGAACAATGAACCTTACCCTGAAGACTAAGAAGAAATTAAAGAAAAGGGTTCTTGAAGAATCAGTCATAGTAAGCACTCAAATTATTACTTTTATGTCCCACACCTACTTGAATGTCATTTTCTAAAGTCATTGTCTTGACCTTAGAACTATTTATGGCTTGACATGCTCAGGACCTTCAAATACATGACAGCTTTTCATTTATATTTGACTTTATTAGGCACACATTACTATTTATCCATATGCTTTCAAAAGGAACACAGATCTCTACATGCAATCGACCGTGAGCACGGTGAACTGTCCATCACCCTGAGGGTAACAGAAGGTGGGCAGTGCAGTATGCACTTATGTGGGTAGATGTCTTGATAGTTGTCTTGTGGATAGTTGTCTAGTGTTGATAGCATGGGATTCTGCTATGAATGCAGTATATTGTTGAAGAAATACTGACACAGGTACACCTGAAGGAGTTACAGTGATTTCAAATATCAACAATGTCCATGAAAAGAACCCCTTAATTTAAAAAAGAGAACCACACATAAAGCACTAGAAGAAAGGAGTTAGTTCTGTCCCATGTGTTTCTCATGATGGAGATAATGGCTTTTCTTATTGCTATTGTAGAGAGTTCTGCTGACATTTGCTGGCCTGCTGAGTTCATCACAGCTGTGCTTATGCCTGCCTCCAAGCTTCACTTTCCACGGAGCTGGAAAAGGACTGGAATTTTTGGTAGATAATGTGCCACACCCTTGCTCTGCCTCATCCTTCCAGCACTCTGTTTGTTAAGGGAAAGCCAGATTAAGCAGTGCTTTAGTTGGTGCAGGTATTTTGATCTGTTTTAAAATCCAGATGCAATCCAGAGACCCAAGTGACATGTTTATGCACCCTGGCTATCAGTGAGGTCAGGGATTTAGGTTATCTCAGTTCCTGGGTTGCAGGACAGGACTGCACCTTCCCCATTTGTAACCCTGGCTCAAATCCACACTGCCTTTGACACTACAGTAAGAAACACTTTCATAGAGGAGAAATGGGATCTCAGATGTAGAACACAAAGTATCCTGACAGCAGACCTATAAATATGCCCAAAACAGTAAAGAAAAACAATTCAGAAAATCTGGCGAGTGAGTTCTCCTAGTCTCCCCTGCAGACCTTAAAACGCTTCCCTCTGCAAATTAACAGTTAACTTCAGTGAATGCCTCAATCAATAGTATGTGCCATGGGTAGAAGGCTCTTCTGTGGACAGCCAAATGAAGTAAAAACTTTAGGACAAACAAACTACAATAGAAATTTTGCATGCCATGCTTGAAATAAAGCATAAAAAGTATTTCTTGGAAATAATAATTCTAATTTTTCATCCTGGACAATAATTGTAATGATGAAATTCAATAAAATTCAACTTTTAAGAACCGTCTAAAGTAACAACAGAAGTCTAGAGAATATAAATATATAAATTTTTATGGAGGTGTAAAGAACATCAGAAGAAAAGTGAATCATGTTTCTGAACTTCTCTGGGCACCAGAGAATGATGGGAAGACAAACGTACATATGACAGACGTGCCCTCAACCTCTCAACTGTGAGCCAGCGGAAAATCTTACTGTGCTTCTCAAAAGTTATCCTCCCCCTCAAGCTGCAACTCTCCAATCTAAAACCAGAAGATGCCCAGGAGGTTGGTTCTCTATTTCCTTTATGTGATGATGTCACCTACCCCTGAACATCTTGATTGGTGCTCCCTGTAACTTTGCTTATCAGAAGGCAAGTGTACAGTGGTGCATTCTTAGAAAACTCATGGAAATGTGACATCAGCTAAGTGAAAACTAAGTAATGTAAAGTAGGAGAAAAAGAAGATAAAAGTAGATTTAAAGGGAGGAAAGTTTTGAATGGGGTCACAGAGAAGCGACTTGGATGCCTCAGTGTAAGATGAGGAGAATTTTATTTGCATGTGCATGGAGGTGGGCATGTTTGCTAATGTGTGAAAATAAATGCAGGTGAACTTTGTAGAATCCAAATGTCCAGGATTGTTTGTGGAGCTGGGTGAAAAAAAAAGAGCCAATGATTAGGGTATCAAAACTATCATGATTACTAAAAGTATCTTAATACTGTAAGCAAGTACGTTTATCTTGCAGAAATTTATCAAAAATCTGTAAGTGGTGTTTGCCTTTCTTTCAGATAAGATCCAGGAGTTAGTCTTTAGATAAATCCTAAAAATATATTGGAAAGCTGTATTCCTGAGGACTTGGAAAGTAAACATATAAAAGTCTAAATCTAGAAATATTTATACTAATCTTTATACCAATGTAGATAAAAATGTGATAAACTCTTTCTCCTTTCATTTTCTTACAAAGTGAAAACATGAAAAGTCTGAATTTTTCTCCAGAAAAAATCTGTTCTGGTTGTCCCAAGGAGCACATAAATTGGCAATCTCACAAGGAAGCACTCAGGCTTATTAAGGAAATTTGTGAGACCTGGAAAGTGCTATAGATAAGTATCTGTTAAAATTCCATCCCACATAGCTGTGATCCTTACTCTTTTGACAACTGCCTGAGGACCAAGCATGGGAGAATGTGTAGAAGGAGCAAACAGAGGTTTTTCTCTCAGTTAAGCCCTCACAGCTCCCCATTTAAATTGGGCTAGGGTGGATTCTGGCAAAAATATCAATGTAACAATCTCCTAGGAAGATAAAGTTTGCAAAATTAGCTATGTCTGAGAATGGGCATGAAGCAATTTCTCAAAATTATGTAGTTGTTAATGTTACAAGGAGCAATAAAAAAATACATACCTTTCATTCTTATACAAGAACATAAAGCAAAACATTTCTCTACACACATATCTAAGAGTAAAGTATGTAATAAACTTTTACAGAAGCAGATGCATACAAGTTCCAGATGTGCTGTTTTTCTGACTCTGTGGGTTGTGTCCTCTATAAGGGGAAAAGAAATATTAATCATTTCTTTTACTGCTAAGGGGATGGGTGCTGCTCTCATATTTCAGAAAGGGGCTGGAAAGTGAGGGAAGCCAAACTTTTTCCTATTTAAGGCCAAAGCAAAGGAATCTCAGTGGCTGAGTTTTATGACGGGCCCGGTGCTGAAGGGCAGGGAACAACCGATGGTGCTACTCTGAACTGCTTTTCTTTTCTCCTTTCTGCACAAAGAGTCTCATGTCTGATATTTAGACATGGTGAGCTTTGTGCAAAAGGGGACCTGGCTACTTCTTGCTCTGCTTCACCCCACTCTTATTTTGGCGCAACAGACCCCGGAAGGTGAGTAGATTTGGATTTCCAGAAACTTTATGGGGTTTTTGTCTTTACTTCTCCTTATAAAGAAGCATAAAGGGAGAAACCAGCCTCTTGAAACACAGTTTCCTCTGTGAGCTCCCAACTATGAAACATTAATTGTACCCTACTTTTGCCTTTACATTGGTTTAAAACAAATAATGTCATGCGTGTGTTTAAAAGTTTTCTACTTGTTTAAGATAAAGGCTTTCTCGTACTAACTTTTTTCCTGTTAAAGGCACCGGGAACTTACTTTTTAAAATGGTTTTAAAAGGCTCCCCCCCCTGGACTGTTAACATCTTGGAATGCTTCCCTGGATCTGGAAGTTATTGGTCTCATGGAATAATTGCATGTTCTTCTTTGCATGTCATGTCCTTTGTGAGGATAGAATGTTGAGCATTGTTTTCCCAACAAGATTACAAATTTTAAAGCCGGCATGCCTAACAAACAGTCTACTATGCACCATTAGCCTCATTACATCTATTTCTATAAAGTGAAACAGCAATTGCCAGTGTTTCTTAAATGGGTTCAGATTGCAAAAAATTGTTTCATCACCCAGTTTTTATTCCATTTCTGTCGCAAGCCTTTGCATACTTGTTTAATCCATATTTCTAACCATTTATGGTGAGGGGTCTAATATTTCCCATATGTTCTGCAGCTTAGCTGCATTTGTAGTAGAGAAGAGAATTTTTTAAGTGTTTTTAGCAGGAATATTTTGACTTTTCTGCAAACAAGGTAAAGATACTAGTCCTGTTTGACTTCAAAAGCTCCTTTGCTGTTACTTCCTTAAAAGCGCATGTATTAGTTTTCATGTTCGAATTTTTAAAAATTGTCTCACTATCTGTATGAAAATATTTTTGTAAATTCATATGTGCCTCATAATCATGAAAATACTGGACAGATGGGAGCATACATTTTCATAAAGGTAAATATTCAAAGGTAAATATTCAAATGCTGAACGTAAAAATAGCTAGAGGAAATCATTAGACAGCAATTTTAAGATGTACACCATCAAACATGTTTACATTTAAACCTATAGTTTTTGTTAACCTTGTATGAGAACTTGGTTTTTTTTTTCCTTTTGTATGTAATATCAAGTATCTTTGGAGTCCTCGCAAGCAATATGTGTGAGTGGAACGGTGTGTGTGTGTGTGTGTGTGTGTGTCTGTGTGTTCGTGTAAACCTGGTAACATCTCTTTAGTTAAATTCGGCCATGGTCACAAAGAAAAACACCCATATTGCTTGTTCTTCAGTTTTTTCCCCCACCCAACCCTGTCCTGTCCTCTCTGCTCCTTGCGTCTCCACCCTCTCCGCACTGGGGACCTCCTTCCCCTCGTCTTGCTGGCCCCTCACCCCACCTGCACCCGGCCTCAGCGCTCTCCCTGGGCTCCTCCTAGGCCTTCCCATCCCCCACCACTCCTCCTCCTCCCAGGTGCCCTCCCCCGACCTCAGCCCTCTCTTCCTCCTCCCTCCCCCCTCCTCATCCTTTCCTTCCCCGGAACAATCAATATTCCTTTCCTTCTTTCTTTCTTCCCCTTTGCTCACTCTCCTGCGCACCCGCCCCCCCAAGTCGTTCTAACTCCCAGCCTTTCCCTCGGATACCAAATGATTAACACCTCCTGTTCTCCCGAAAAATATTTCTACCTTTTTAAAGCTCTTCCGTTCTCCTAGTTCCTAAGGAAAATATCGGAATTCTCATTTACTGAAGACTATGAACTTTTTGTTTGTACCTCAGAAAGCTGAAAAATATTAGGAGTTGCCTAGTAGTTACAGGAAAAATGAGATACACCCACTATGGCTATGTTCTTTCTGAACATACCTTTCGGGAGAAAAAAAGGAGCGTTTCCTACATAGATTGTCTTGACATCACAGTTTGTGTGGGTGTGTTGCTTTTAGACTTTGTTTATTGATTTTGTTTGTCTTAAAGCATGTTTAGATGTCCTGAGACACTGCAGCTTGTGCTTTCTATAGATGGCACCAGAAAGTTCTGCGGGTGGATGAGTTTGGGGGGTACGTACTCCCTCTCTGGGCGGGGGTGTCTTGTCTAAATCCCAGCACCCCCGAACTAGCACAACAGGAAAGACCACGAGCGTGTAGTCTACACGCAGGAGCTTTCTGGGGCATAAAACATGTATTCACAAAGAATTTTGGTCTTTTTACAAATTTGTGAAAGTTTTATTTTATTCATGTGTCTTATTCCAGCAATGGAAAACGAGGTCTGTTTTATATTTCCTGTGGTTTATAAACATGCCAAATTGTAAGGGGTGGGGGGGGAATATGCGCCACCTAGTGGCTGGCGGAGATACCGTTCACAACCGATGCCAACATCGAATGTACATAGGATACTTCAGGTTTTAAAATATTGTGCGGGAGAATGTTAACTATTAAACATTGTTTTCCTAAGCAAGTGAAAGCGTTACAGATAAACTGTTGCCAAATCCTCAGACACAAACATAATGGTAACAATATTCAGAGAATGGCTGGAAATAAAGTTGAAAGCTATACCAAAATTCCTCGAGTTTAAAAATATGTTTCATACACAAAGACTCTGATGTATTCCTTACTTGACATATTTTACTCGCTGATAATTATGTTAATATATTTCACATACTGCTAACTAATAGTGTTTTAGTAAGGCAGAGGGGGAAACTTGTAAGTTTTGTCTTTGCTGTGGATGGCGGTGGTGATGGTTTTGCTTCTCTTTTGGGTACTGGGGGCTGAGCCAAGGGCATTTGCACAGAGCTATGTTCCCAGCCTTTTTATTTTTTATTTTGAGACAGGATTTCCTTAGGTTGCTATATTGCCCAGGCTGGACCAGAATGTGTGATGCACCTAACTCAGCCTGCCTAACGTTGGGAATACAGGTGTGCACCACCGCACCTGGATAAAGCTGTGGTAGTTAAAAGTGTTCTAATGTCTAAGCTTCTGAGTTTGCCACACTGATAATTATATTAAAATGAACGATGTGCCTTGAAATAGATTCAAAACTATATATTGACTCAGAAAAACAATTCCTTACTTCAAGGTGTGTGAGCGTACCTCCCATTATACTTCAAGAAAAATTAGTAATTAATCAGTTACCATTCCCATTTTCTGATTTGTCCTGCCCCTCTAACTAACCATAGTGAGCTAATAAAAATACATAGCATAAAGTTACGAGAAACAATTGCACTTTTAAGAGACGAGAACTATCCGCATATCTCAGCATCCATCATCTGACAAAGATGTGGTATTTTAGTTGAAATTATGAGACCAGCAAGGGATGAATTAAGACTAGAACCAAAAGTCTGTTAAATCCTAGATAGAGAACACAAAATAGAAATTCAGAGCAGCTAAATCTTCTATTTTTGCAATCATTTGTCATTGAAAGGAGAGAGCAGATCATTGCACACAGGCCTAGAAAGTTTGCAATTATTGCACGTTCAGAAGTGAAAAGTGTGGGTATTTTTCTTGTGAACTCAACTGTGAACGGGTAAATCTGTTTTGTAAGCAAGAGATTCGGAAGCTAATGTTCAAACCTGAAATTATCATCAGTTCTGTGAAAATGCACGTGGGAAATAAAGTATTATTGACACAAAACGTTGTGGTGTTTGTTTTATGATGCTTTGTGTTTCCTTACCGCCTGCAGAATATTCAACCTTAGAGTATCTGAAACCCTAGAAGTAGTTGGCTTAAATTCTAGAATTAAGCTCAGCATTGTAAAAAAATCAAGCAAAGCCTCCAAAATAATTCCGGGAAAGGAAAGACGGAGAGTAAACGCCTTTGAGCTAACTCAGACTCCTCAGGGGATGTCGTATCCAAGGGCTTATTTTTAAATATTAAAAAGCATTATTTGCGATTTTGTCAGGATTATGGGTAATACTAGAAGACAAGACAGCCCTGTCCCATACCCTTGTCTTGGCTCTAGAGAGAAGAGCGCCACCTATCGAAGCTCCGTGGTTTCCATGTGGATGACATTTCTTTGGTGCAGAGTTCCAAAGATTATGCAGGCCAGTTCTTTGATTTTTGCAGCATCAAGTGGCATCACTACCTTGCAGTGTTTAAAGCAGAGGGCTTAGGAGTCGGAGCTTCAGAGATGAAGGATGTTATTGCTTTTGCTGAACATGAAGAACATTTGTAAAGTATCCAGGTCTGCAGTAATGCTCTGGGAACGTCTCAGTGAACTGTATCTTAGGAAAGTTTCCCTACAAAGCTTGCTCCCATTGTTTTCCCCACTCAGGAAAAAGTTTATGTACTACTTTTTAAAACCCAGACTTTTCAAGCAGGGAAACTGTGTCTGTTTTGTGTCCAGATGAGAACGGAAAAAATGAGATAGTTTTTTTTAGACAAACCGATTGTGAACTGCAATTTGGAGGGTTCTATTAACCACCAGAATTCCTGTCTGTGCCTAATGAAAACACAGCAGAACTGGATTCCTTTCCGATGAACAAAGGAAAGCCTTGTTCTTTCCATGACTGAAGTCAAGCCCTGCTGTTTAAAATGTAATCTTAATGAGTAAAAGGAAAAGCTTGAAGAGGACAGAAGTGAAAATGCCCACAGGATGTAAAACTAAAAAATAAAGGATCCAGAAATTATTAAAAATTAAAAATGCCTTGAAAACAAACACTGAGAAATTGCTGCTTCAGTCGCATGCCGTGTATTTTTCTGAAACTGGCTTTTCTGTGGTAGCTGTGGAGGATGTCAAACAGAGATGACACGCTCAAGTAAATTAAGTCCTAGAAATATTCTTTAGAGTTCCACGGTATGGTGGCAGTGCCCAAGTATCATTTAAGGGAGAATACTACTGAAGACAGAAGACCATCACTGCCAATCACTTAGTTACTTTACATTCTGAAAATCAGTGCCTTACTGAGACATCTAAGCATGTTTTTGTAGCAGATGCTGAAGCCTGATGTTTCTTCTCGTTGTTAGAATCCTAATTCTGTGTACAGGAAAATGCACGCTGGGCCCTGAGTCACACATTTATCCTATCAGTGGTCTGGATGTCA